CTGGTGTGTAGACAGTGCTGGTAGCGGAGTTATAGGAAGTGATGGGCCTAACTGCTGAGATGAGGGGGGTTCCCCAGAAAGGCGATCCATTTAAGTTGGGTCTTGATCTAACAGTTTGCTCCAGGTTACCAGACAGACAGAGGTGGAGGCGGAGGTGGGTGGGGGTCAAGTATTGCAGTTGGAAGAGGCAGCAAGGCAAAGTGCGTCCACTGGTGACCGGAGAGCACGCTTGTGGTCAGGAAGCCAGGCTACATGCCAGGCTTTATGTGATGGGTCCAGTTTGTACTCCCGGGATGCAGGGATGTATCAGACAGGGCTCTACCCTCATTCTGATTGGGAAGGGAAGGGAAGGTAGACAAAGACAGGTATTTTCCGAGCATGAGAACCTAGAGAAGGAGATAAACAGGATGCTACTGTGAAGAGTAGTTTGGGCACAGTGACCAGGGGAGGGATAGGAGGGCAGGAAGTGGGGGAGGAAACAAACCTGATTTGCCCAGCCAGACAAGGTGTGAGGGCAGGAAGTGCGTGGGGAGGGCACTCCTGCAGTGTGACAGAGCTCCCCAAAGTGGAGCAGAAAGCTTAGGTCAGTGAGGTCTCTGCTGGCCGCAACCCATCTCTTCCTGATTCCCTGTCCCCTCCCCATCCAGAGATCAGGGTCTGGCAGAACAAGGGGTGGGGGTGTCCACAGGCAGACAGGAGTCACTCCTGGCAAGGTCCACTATATGAGGACCTCCTATGCAAACGCTCCCTTTTAACCTTTCAAGTCCTTTATTCTTCACTTCCGGAAGATGGTCCCAGGCACTCAGATCTCCAGGAGAAATCAAGGCAGTGACTGGGGCGGGTGGCCCACTCCTGGGGAGAAGGCAGGTTCTCTGCTGAACGTGCATCTCTAGTTACAGAGTTGCCTTTAAGGAAAGGAGGCTTGAGATGAGTCCAGGAGGTTCTAGAGCTGCCCTGCATTGAGTTTTCCTTGAATATCTCTCTCTGGGCGCAAGAGGGCAGCAGAGCCTTGAGCTTGGCAGGCTGCTGTGCCAGTGGGACAAGAGGACTCTTCCTTTTATGTTCATTGCCTGCTTATTTGCCTGCAGCCTATGCCACCCCCACCCCTTGTTCTGCCAGACCCTGGTCTCTGGATGGGGTGCGGGGAATCAGGAAGAGATGGGTTGCAGCCAGCAGAGACCTCACTGACCTTCACATACACATCCATACTGCGCACTTTGCTGTCTCCACAACAGAGGGCAAGACTCAGAATCTGACTCGGTTCTGCCAGCATCAGGGCCCCTGCAGGAATGTAGTCTGGATAACGTAAGTAGCCTGGAAGACCCAGGACAGACACACCAGCTGACCATCGCAGAGCAAGCCTTCTGGGTCTGCCCTCCTGTAATGAAGACTTACCAAAAGCCCATGACCCTGGGGCAAGAGGCCAACTGATCTGGGTTGGAAAAATCGGCTCGTTAGACCCATTTAGCAACTGTAAAGGCCAGTCAGTTTTATGGCACGGGTGCCACACAAGAAGTAGGAGAGCAAACACAGGTCAGATATAAGCTCTTCCAAAAACTTCACCATCTGATGGGCAAATGGCCATTGCAATAGACTGTGACAAGCTTATTGAATAAGAAAGAGGTTTATAGCACTGGAGAACCAGAAGAGGTGCATAGGTGGGGGTGGGTGAGTCGAGAAAGGTCAGAGAAGCCTTCTGGGAATTAATGCCCAGGGTAAGTTTACAGGGTAAGAAGTTTTAGCCAGGCAAAGAGAAATAGGGCTTTAAGGCAAGGTGCCTGCCCGTGTGTGCAGAGGACTGAAGTCTAAAATCAGCCTGGGAGGATTAGAAGTTCTGGTGTGTTAAGAAAGTTCTAGTTCCAGTTAGCAGCCCTCCATAGACGTAGGTTCCATGTCTTCTGCTGGCTAAAAAGCCTCCTCAATCATTTTGTACATTTTCATAGAAGCTTTGGAAATCTGAATTTTTATCTAGGAACTATAGGATTAAGAGGAAATTGATGCGGGAAGGGAGAATTAGAGGTCGAGAAGTTAGTTTTGGGGGAACTCTATGTCCATTTAAGTGACTTCTGCAAACTGGAGATGGATGATGAAATTGACAAAGGAAGTGAAAATGACTAAAGACCTTGTGTCTCAGAGGTTAGATAGTCAGCAAGTAAACATGATTTCAAAAGCAAAATTGTAAGGCTAAATATCGGTTAATTAGTCACATATTCCTGGCTGATGGAGTCATCCTTCTGAAGAAGCCAGCAGGTACAAGCGTACAGATTGGGAGACATATTGGCAAAATATAGAAGCAAAAGGGCTTGGTATCTTGTAGAATAACAAGAAATTAGTAGTATAAGAGAGCCACTGAAAGATGTCCAAAAGACCAAAGGACTTTCCATCTTAAGGAAATTTACAGAGAAGAAATCCAAAGCTAGCAAGTGTTTCGTGGCAGAGATTGTTGACTTTTCACTTTTCTTGTCTATCCTCCCCCCCACACACACACAGAGTCAGACCGTATTTATTGCCTTGGTTGCTGGTGGGGATGTAGATGGTTGGAGTCTTGCAGAGGCCAGTGTGATGGGTCTAACATAATCTGTAGAAATCCTCACACCAGTCTATGGAGAAAACATGGGTGTCTGCGGAATCACTGTGCTGGGGAGCTGGGCGCTGTCTGGATGCCCTGCACTGAGAACGTGGATAAAGTAAGTGATGGGGGCAAACTATGGGGAATAATGCAGTGAGACAAGAAGCAATGGGCTGAGTAGCAGCATCGCAGTGTGAATGTGCCTGGAAAATACAGTGAAAATGATGTACGTAAAGTATATGCAAATACAACGCTGCGTATTTTACAGAAAAGCATTAAAAAGAGGGCACATTAAGCATTTTACAATTGCTGCCTATGGAAAATGAGGCTGGGAATGAAAGTGCGAATCGAGAGGGGAAAGAAATAGAATCAAATGGATGAATTCACTTCTACGATCCAGTTCCTGACTTCGTCTCAACAGCTTTCTGACAAGACACTGAAGCCTGACAATCAGAAGGTTTTTGCTTCTGAGGCGCGCTTTCCTTTACAGAATCTGATTTCCATGAGGTTATTACATTCACTCTCAATTTTTAAACGAGTCCGTGTTCAGCCTTTGCTGCTCTTTTTTCAATTTAATAAACATTTCCTTTTAATCACTTGACCCAGCGCTTTTGCAAAAACTAAGCTCACCAAAACCATAAAAGAAGCACAGCATGACCGCTCAATCTTGACCCTAACATCTTTTGCTCATAACGTAAAACTATTTGCTTTTTTCATGCATACCAGATAAAGAAAAGAATGAACCACATAATTTTTTATTTATGCGGTATTAGTAGAAACAGAACAGATGTTCTGTGTAGGTGTTATACCATTACAGTAGTTAGGAGGAAGGAAGGGAAAAATCAGGGGAACCAAGAAGAGAACGCTAAATCAGACCCCGTAAGTTTCATAAGTAAGTATGCAAAAGAAATTCACACCGTGGAGGAAAGTGACTGAACAAAATCACCCGAAAGGCACAGAAGTCACTGGAGTCTCAGCTCTTGGCAGGAGAGTACTGTGGTAGTCCCACCCTGATTTTCAGTGCATGGGGCCTTAGCACTGCATCTGCCAGGCACATGTGGATTGCAGCTCGCTCCCCACCTGCACAGCGCAGCTGCTGATACTCTGCCCCGACAGCGGCCTTGAAACCCATCTCCCTGCCATTTCCGGACCGTACGGTGGGGGATAGAGGGGGTTGGATAACTTCTAGGCAGATTTCGGAAGTCGGTCCTGGCTGAAGCTTGGGAATCTTTCTCTTCTACGTGTTTGGAAACCCCTGCTTCTAAAACATCTTTTACTCCATTGCCCTTCCTATGGCCAATCAGTTCACCATTTTATACCTTTCCTTCTCCAATCTTTCTTGATGCTCTTTGAAAGCCAAGCAATGGATTCAGAAGCCAGTTTAAAAGTTTGAGATGAGTAAGTGTTGATTAACAGATAACTGGATAACTAGAGTTTCCAGCTGAGTCAGCATCTTTATGAATGTGGGGTTTAAAACCCAAAGCTCTGTGAATAAACAGTGCCTCCCCCTGTGGTCTGAAGGGACATCAAGGAGGGAGGGGTTCCCTATCTCTTTCAGTTAAGTCTCTAACTAGTCATCCCTGAACTCATCAAATGCATTCATTAAAATCTAAGTTAGCCCAGGTGGGACCATATCAAATTTGATGAGTTATCATTTTGGTTGTAATTTGTTTATTTATTATTAATTACACACCACATGAAAGGCTCCCAAATTGCTGGTTCTTCCAACTCCAGAAGTTGCTTAATTTGGCTCTGGCTTGGAATTCTGACTTGGAGGCTTCCACCTAGCATGGAGTCTAATTTGAACAGAGAACCGGGAAGAGGCTCTGTAGACAATCCCTGTAACAACCACCTCTGTACTATTTCCCTGCACACTTACCCCACTTTTGTGGAGATAATTGCCCTTCAATACTACTGGATGGTTTAACCCTATTGCGTAAAACTAAAGAAACACTTTACATTCTGCCACAGAGACGAAACTTCGAGAGAATTATATCGTTATCAGATACCCTTGGTCTCTAAACCTGTATTTGTATCAAGTTACTGCATTTAAAAGATTGTGAGATATATTACATAGTGCAGAAAACTTCATAAAACATTTACATGAAGACCTATTGGCTGAGTCTTAGAAGTCCTTCTGTTCTCTGGCCTGTGTGCAGTCTCACTGTGTTAATCGGTTTTCCATTGCTGTGACAAAATACCTGAGAAAGTCAATTTAAAGGGGGAAAGATTTGTTTTGGTTCACAGCTGCAGAGGTTTCAGTGCATAGTCACTGGGCTCTGACGCTCCTGGGCCTGTGGTGGGCAGGACCTCAGTGGCAGGGAGGGCACAGAAGAGCAAAGCTCTTCACATCACGGGGCCAAGAAGAGGAAGGAGAGGGGGAAGAATTGCAGATGGAAGACACCCTTCAAAAGCAGTGCTGATGACTTACTTCTCTCAAGTAGGTCCACCTCCTGAAGTTTCCACCGTGTCTCCAAGCGGGGACCAAACTTTTAACACATGAGCCCTTGAAGAACATCCTGGATATAAACTAGCACCCCGACTTTGTCCCTCTGACCTCTACCCTGAGACGAACACTGACGTCAGAACTAATCATTCTATCGATTTTCTTCTTTCATCCATTTAAGGATCACTAAATAATACAGTTCAATCTGTTTTGAACTTTATATACAAGGAATAAAAACATCTTTGTAATTTGCTTCTTTCATCTTACATCATTTAGAGAACCATTCACATTAATGGCTATAACTGCAATCTGTTTATTGCCATTGCTGTATATTCCAGTTTATTTATTTATTCTCCTGTTTCCGAGTATCTTAATCAGAGTATCTCTCTTGTTACGCAGGCACAACACCTGACACCCACAACTTAGCAGAGGAGAGATTTATTTTGGCTCAAGTTTTCAGTCCGTAGTCCACAGGTCACAAGGCAGAAAGCAGCCTAGCAGAGGGGGTGGTGGAAAAAAGCTGCTCACATCGTGGTCATCAGAAAGAATTGCTAGAGGAGGAACCTGGGAGAGAGATACTCTTCCAGATACACCCCAGGGACCGGCATCTCCTAATAAGAAGTCAGATACATCACCCCCAGGACTCAGTAACCTTTTGAAAGTCTCACTTACGAACAGGGCATCTTCATGATGTAAACCATAACACTGGGCACTTAGGCTGTTTCTTGTTCAGTATACTGAGGCTATTCTAAGCAATGCTTCCAAGAACGTGTACGCATAGCGTGTGCATTGCATTGACACATCAGATTTTCTCTGCTGTATACCTAGAAGTGCAGTCAGTGGACTTGGACTATCAAAAATACAAGTCCTCTACTTAATGCCAGGCTATTTTGCAGAATGGGGAACCCATTTGTATGTCCACTGTAAGGACAGCAGCATGTCTGTTGGTCAGTTCCCTTGGTGGTGCCCAGATGTCAGTTCTGGCAGTTTGGTGGCTGTGTCATTGTATCTTATGGTGGTTTAATTTGCCTTTCTCTGATGAAAAATAGGTTTCTTGGTCTTTTGGAATGCCTCTATTGTAACGGGTCTGCTCAGGTCTTTTGTTTTCTCCTGTATCTTCATTTTGATTCACAGCAGTTCTTATAAATTCTGGATCCCCGGTACTTTGTCAGTTTTACGTGTTCTAATATCATTTCTCATTCTGTGGATTGTCTCTTCAGACTCTTAAACTGTCTTTGGAACAGACATTGTTACTGTCATATATTCAAATTTATGAATCTTTCATTTACAATTAGTGGATTTTATATCTGATTTAAGAAATCTTTCCCTTCACCAAAGGTTAGGAAGACATCTGCTGTATTACCTTCTAAATCTTTAGTTTTGCCCTTCGTGTATGCTTTGTTAATAAGCCTTAGTTGATTTTTGTGTGTAGTGCAAAGTGAGTGTCTAACTCTATTTTCCTCCTTATGAATACTCAATTACCTTCACACTGTTTATTGAAAGCCTATCTCTTTGCCCGTTGATCTGAGCTATTAGTTCTGCCACATATCAAATATGCATAAAGGTAAGAGTCTATTCATGGCCCCTCCACTCCAGTCCGTTGGTCCATGTGTCAGTCCTGGTGCCAGATCCACAGTGTCTTAATTACTATAGCTTTATAATAAATATTAATATCTGATGGAGCAAGTCCTCCCACCTTATTTTTTAAAGAGTAGCTACTCTTCGCCGTTGGCACTGTCGTATAAATTTTAGAGCCTGCTTGTCAAGTTTTGCAAAAAACCTATTGGGATTTTAATTGGAATTTTACTGAGTCTATGAATCAATTTGGAAAGAAATGATATCTTTACAATGTTGAGGACCGTGATCCATAAAGTGGTGTATTTCTCCATTTATTTGGATCTTCTTTAATATGTTTCAATAAAATTTTATAATTTTTCCATGAATATCACGTACTTATTTTGTTGGATTTATTCCTAGGTACTTCATGTTTTTTTAATGGCATTTTGGTCAAAATCTTTTAAACTTCTTGTTATAACCGTCACTAATTAGAAATGAATTTAATTTTTCTATTGATGTTGTGTTCAAATGTTTTGCTAGGGTCCACCCATTTGGGACATTTCTTAGCCCTCAGGATATATTTCTATGCCCCATGTCTATTTCCCAATAAATTTTCCTACTCTTAAAAGTAATTCTAGTAATTTATATTGATTTTTAATTTTTTTATAATGGGTTATCACATTATCTGCAAATAATAAAAACAGATTTATCTTTTTCCTTTCTAATTATTGTAATTATTATTATTTTTTTTTTACTCACGGTATTCCCCAGGATTCTAGTAGAATTTTAAATAAAATTGATCTCCATCTTTTACCTTATGATAGGATGAGGGATAAGGGAGTTACAGTATCAAGGTTACAAATAAGGGAAATAACCACTATTTTCAAAGTTTCTTTGTAAATTGAGCCAGGAGTACATAGGCATATTTTTCAAAGTCAGAACTCAGTATGAAGTAAGTTATGATTTAAATTTCTCAACCTCAGATAGGACAGATATTATTATCTTGGCTTACATACCTACACTGATTTGTGAGTTTCTTTGCCTGCCTATCACACAAATTTTTGACAGCAAACAGGGCAGCAACTTGTGTCCTTTGACTTTGAGTTCCGGATGCTTCCTGCTGTGTCCCCTGACCAGCCACGTTGGAGAAGCAGGAAGGGTCCAGGCCGCAGTAGCAGAGCCTTGGGACCCTTCAAGAGAGAACCCTCTCTCTTTGGCTCTGTAACCTGCAGATCTCTAGGTTGGCTTGTGAAGGTTCAGCAGTTGCAAGACAACGCGCCTGCCCCACCTAACTTCCTGCCAGAAGCAGTGTTACCACCGCACACATCTCCTTCGACTTTGGCCCACCAACACCACTTAGCGGGGACAGTCAGTAACTGGCACGCGCTCAGGTGCAGATGCCACCATTTTAATGGAGGAATGGAGCCGCGTCACGTGGTGGAGCAAAGAGAATAGCTGGTTTGTAGACAAGTGGCACCAGCCCTGCAAAGGACTAGAGAAAGCAAACTAAGCTCCGTCATGATTTTTAGGTTCCTAAGGCCAAGCCAGATAGCTTGCAAATGGTTTTCATTACACTCTTAATTTTCTTTTTCCTTGAGATTCTTTGAGTTTCTGCACCATGTAACTAAAGGGCCCTGGTCAATCATCATCCCCAAAGCACTGGAGACTCATAGAAAAACAGCTAATTAGTTAACCAGTCTTTGGAACATCGACTAAAGAAAGCAATGCGGAGAAAGAGGAAGAGAACTGAAAACCGAGCCCCATCCTTGATTTAAGCGAGCTGATGATTAGTTTCTCACATATGTAATACTCGGTTTGGGAAGAGAAATACACAGGCAAAGCCAAGAGCAAATATACGATAGCACACTATCAAGTTGCTGGTTGGGTGGAAGGAATTCTAAGAGCAACAAAGGGTACAGAAAGATAAGGAATTCTTAAAGAGAACAGAGATGCAGAGTTTACTCTGAGAGAACCATCAGGATTAGAATTCCCTGAAGGCCTCAGAGCCCAGGGAGGCTGAGAGGTGGCAGCAGGGGCTGAAGAGACAGGTGTGTGGTCAGAGGTGAGGGGAGGGATACAGGGGTGCTGGTTAGCCTAGACTTTACAGAAAGCCTGGTCCAGGTTTTAAAATTACTCTTTCCAGGCTGCATCTGAAGTTGCTTCTTCAGCCTACATTCCTTAGCGCTGAGCACATTTCCGCTTTCTTTTCCTTACTCTTGTGTGCTTAAATATAAACATTCTTTGCGACTCTTTGCTGGGGGAAATGGCAGCACAGAGGGGAATGATGGCGCGGTTCAGGCACAAGCCATTTCTCTGAGCTGGGGGTTCTGAGTTGAATAACTTCCTTGGTGTGCTTGTGATTCCTCCTGCCTGAGCTTCCTGTGGTTGACCTTTAGCTCTTGGCAAAAGTCTGCATACAGCGCGTGTCTCACCCCCTTCTGGTTACCTTTTCCAAGAGTCTCAGTTGCTAAAATAGCCAGAACACTTGTAACCTATTTCTCTGAAAGAGTTTAGCCACGCCTTTCCCTGAAGGATAGGCTGACCTGATGGGACAGTGATTAATAGCCCAAGGTTCAGGAAAACCCTGGCAGGGTGGCTGCCTGACTTCTGGGAGGGTTGGTGGCACACAGTGGGACACAATGGAATCTGGCTTCACCTCCAAGGACACTTATGTGAGACATTTTAACCCTCAGGCTTATCTAGAAAAATACTACAATTTTGGGTCCAGAAACTCTGCAGAAAACCAGATTCTTAGGCACCTTCTGACATATCTTTTCAAGATATTCTGCCTGGGTAAGTTTGTTGGTTATGGTTCCTGTGAGTCACGGATTTCGGGGCCTGGCTAGGTTTATGTTTGACTGTCAATATTTGACTGCCTTTTTGGCTCTTACCTGTTTATTTAACGAGTATAAAACTAACTCTGTTTTAGCCATTTTACAATTTACAAGATGCTTTTCTATCCATTATCTTACCTGGTCGTGGGACCTGAGTGCTGTCCTCACTCAGCCTTGATCTGTTCAGGTGACTTGGGGGAGCTGTTTCACCTCAGGGGGCCACTTAAGAAACCGACAGTCTAATATTTATTTGGAGTGTTGGAATTTGTAAGAGGGAAAGACTTCCCGATACGTTAAGAACTGGCCGGGGATCCTGGAGGACACTATATGAACTCTGTTTTTGAACAGCCACAAAAATAATTTCCTTCCCAACGTATTCCTTCATAGTTTTTACGTATGTATGTAGCAGTGTTTCTGGATCAGGGATCTGTACACTAGGTGTAGATCTTTTTTCTTTTTCTAGACCTTAAAATAGCCCAATAAACATGCCTCCATTCTGGGCGGGGAGTAGAAAATGATAAGATATGTTAAAAGTGGATTCAGGGAGTGTGGTGGTCTGTCTTTGGGTCTCTCTGGCACAATTCGAGGGAAGACAGAGTCCACAGTTCTGCCTGCTGTCTGATTCTATCCTTATTCCCATCAGGAGGGGTGGAGGGAGACCTCCTGATTGACATCGGCTCTGGCCCCACCGTCTACCAGCTCCTGTCTGCCTGTGAGTCCTTCAGGAAGATTGTTGCCACTGACTACCTGGACCAGAACCTGAAAGAGCTGGAGAAGTGGCTGAAGAAGGAACCGGGGGCCTTTGACTGGTCCCCCGTGGTGACCTACGTGTGTGAGCTTGAAGGGAACAGGTAGAGCAACTGTGTCTGCTACTTGGTTTTCTGAGGATGCCTGAGTGATAGTTGGTTTTCCGAACCAAGAATTGTCTTTGGAATCTTAAGTCAAAAAAGCAACGGAAGCAGGAACATAGAGACCCAAGGAAGATCCAAAATGGAGAATGAGCTCGTGAGAGCGAGAAGGAGATGAGATGTAGGGGGGACAGAGAGAGGGAAACAGAGAGAGAGAGAGAGAGAGAGAGAGAGAGAGAGAGAGAGAGAGAGAGAGAATGTGTGCGTGTGTGTATGCATGTGTGCACCAAAACCACAAAAGACACAGAAAGAGACTTGAACAGATAGATACTGAGCCAAAAGGAAAAGACACTTTAACTTTCCAATCCTTCCAGAGGAGGTGGCAGTATGTGGTTCAGTTACTGTGCGACCTGGTTTTAGGAGGAAACTGGTAAAGGCTAATTCAGCTCTTTACCAGCATCTTTCTGGTACCAAGGCTCCCCCGCTGGTGCCTTTGTGTTGCTTATCAAGTAGACACAGAAGACTTAGCTGCAAGCATGCCTTATGTCTTCCCCAGACACAACAATAAGAAACCCTGTTAGGTTTTTTAGCTGATATAAAGGAATGGTGTGAAAAGGATTCACTGTTCACCTTTCACAAAATTAGAGCTTACACACTCACCTCTAATGGCCCAAATTTTAGACTTCCATAGATAGAAGTAAATTATGTAGGTGATCGTTTAAATGATTCATTTCTCCCACACAGGAAATTTGCAAAAGTGCTCTGGACTAAGGTAGCCAGGTCTGCATTTCACTTGTCTGTCTCTTGTCCTGGAGTGCTTCCTTTTCTGATTATCTTATTCTGGTCACTCTGCCCAGATCATCATTAGTTCCTAGGGAACTGTTTCTTGGCTTCCGTGCTTATGGCTGAATCCTTTACAAGTTCCAAATGAAGAGGAAGGAAAAGAAAAAGATGGGGTATTGTTTACCCCAGGAGTCAGCCAGCCTCGTCTGCTACTTCTTATGTGTTTATTTGTTCTGTTGTAGTCAGGGGTTGCCAGCAGAACAATTACATACAGGACACAGGATTTATAGTGTTATTTATAATGATCACTCAAAGTTAAATACAAGAAAGTACAGGAAATCTGTTCACAACAGTAAAGATCTAGGAAATCCAGTCAAAGGCCTGGATCCCACAGCAATGTTCTGCATGAGTCCAGCTGAAGACCTAGAGCCCATGACAACGCCCCTCAAGAGTCCAACTGGAGGCCCAGAGCCCTGGACAGTCTCTCATGCAAGTTTGTTTTATGGATCTGTGCTGGGAAGGCCCAAAGGTCAGCAGTGGAAGCTAGAAAATCTGTGCCAGCAGGGTGAAGGAGCTGTGCCAGTGGGTTGAGTGTTCTGCACTGGAACCAAGAAGCAACGCTCAAAATAAGAACCAAGGCTCCCCCAAAACGTACCACAGCCATCTTTGGTGACAATGAGGTTGAAATGACTATGAAAACAGCTGAGTACATACCAGGAAGCCAGTGTGACAAGCTTCTCCTGGAGATTAACCAGCAAGCATCTTCCCCTCCGGAGCCAGGAAGCGATGCTCAAAGTAAGGACCAGGGCTCCTTCAAAGTGAACCACAGACATCCTCAGCAACAAGGTCCCGAGCTCCTCTGATAACGGCCAAATTCTTATCAGGGGAGCCAGCAAGACAAGCTCCTCCAGGAGAACCAACAACCCCAAACAACCCCACTTAGGAGAACCCACCACACTGTGCTCTTCCTCTCCATGTCTCTGTGCTGGCATCTCTCCCCAGGTCCCCGTCTGCACTAAGTGCCAAGCAGATTCAGTTCAGCTGGTGTTAAGTTGACCACCAGTTTTTAATCCATAGCATATGTTTTCTCTTTTTTTGTGTTCCTGTGGTTTTTGATTTTTAATTTTTTTAGTCTTTTTGAGACAAGGTTTTGCTACGCAGTTCAGGCTGGCCTGATTTCACTTTGCAGTCGAGGCCGGTCTTGGCCTTGCAGGGATCCTCCTGCCTCAGCCTTCCAAATGTTGGGATTACAGGTGTGTGCCATCACACCTCATTTAGTCTTTATTTTTTAAAAAAATATTTTTTTCTCATCTTTTCCCTCTTTGTGATTTAGTTTCAGTTTGTACAACTTTCTCTTTCACATCCTTCAAATCCACTTTTTCTTACAGTTTTCTCTCTTCATTTAGATGCTACAATACATTGTATATTATACATCCTGCCTTTCTTTTTCTAATCTTTTCATTAAATAGGAATTTATAGCATATTTAAACTTATTTTAATTGATACATGAAAATATAAAAACTGTACACATGATTTTGGATAGATTGTATAATCTTCAAACTGTGTAAAATGTATGTTTCCTTAAACATTTACTACCTTCTATGATAAAAGTATTTTAAATCCTCTGTTTAGATTGAGAAATATATAATACATAATCATTTTCTGTAGTTAGCCTACTGAGAATGAGATTGTATACCCAGGAGTGCAATTGCGAATCCTACGACAGCTCTATTTTTAAATTTTTGAGGAACTTCTGCACTTTTCCATGGTGGCTGTACTGATTTACATTCTCACCAACATGTAAAGTCCCCCCACCACATTCTTGCCAGTATTTTTTATCTTTTGTCCTTCTGATAAGTTTCCCCTTACTGGAGTGAGGTGATATCTCACATTGTTTGATTTTGATTTCCCCAATAACGAATTTTTCCATGTAATTGTTGGCTATTCTTTTGACAAATGTCTGTTCATGTCTCTGGTCCATTTTAAAAATTGGATTATCTGTTTCTTCTATTAACTTTTTCAGTTCCTTACATATTCTGTATATTAATGCAAATATTTCTGCCTATTCTACAGCTTCTATCTTCATGCTGATGGTTGTTTAATTTGCCGTGGAGAGCTTTTAGTTTGATGCAACCCTATTTGTCTATTTTGAATATAGTGAGTCAGAAAGGGATTTTGATTTCCTGCCAAAACAATCTCTCTCAAGAAACAAATGTTAACAATTTTTGGCTCATAATTAAAAAAACTAGTATTAATTAATTACTGACTCATTTAGTTGAAAAACACCAAGCCTTTGTTGTGCAACTATGGTGTGATCAACACATCGACACAGTGTTAGCTCCCAAGTCAGAACACTGAGCAATATCCCACCAGGGAAGGGAGGCCAATGCCAGACCATTTAGGAACATTTGGGCTCAATGAAAGATGATAGGTTTCACGTGTAATGGGATGAACGGTATTCCAAGAGAATGAGAGACCCAGCTCCTGTTTACAAGGATCTATCTGGCTGCTGTGTGGAGAAAGGATTGAAGGGGTTCAGAGGGAAACAAGACACACAGAAGGGAGATCATTTAAATCCAGGTGGGAGAGAGGCTGGGTGCCTTGAACTATGGTGATGGAGAAAGCTAAATTGTTTTAAGATCAATTTTTGAGCTGTAATAAATAATAATTGTAGAATCATTACTTTGGGCCGTGAGATGAGGAACTGTCAGAGATGAACCTGTGTTCTAGAACTTGGACAGCATGTAAAAATAAGGTAATAATCTTGAATCCCAGGGACCACATAAAATCAAGGTTTATCACACTTGAGGAATATGCCTGCTGAGATTCTCTTCTGGAGTGATAGTCAATTCATTTCCATATAATTGCACTAATAATTGGTTTCCATCTATTGGTCAGTTTTGTTTATTCCTGAGAGCCAATTTCTCATCTGAAATTGACTCTAACATCTGCCTCTGTTTCATTAGTATCCCATTTTCTTTTAATAGGCTGCCCACTTCTGGCAGGTTCCCCCTCTCAAGGTTAATAGGAGGATTCTAAGTTTATACGCATTTTCTTCTGTGTTGTCGATACACTGTCTTATTGGTAGTAAATATGGATTGTCAAAAGTCATCAGGGTGGCTTAGTGATGCTACAGTTGTTCACAAAACAGCAGATGAATAAAATAAGTCTTTTTTTCTGTCCCAAAGAGTATTTTTACTATCATTCAGAGCTGTGTAACTTCCACTGAGTTTACCCTGGTCTCATCCTTATTTCCAGCATAGTTAAATCTGGAAAACAGGTACTATAAATCCTTCAACCTCATTCTTTTCCAAGATTATTTTAGCACTTGTTGCCACTATATCTTTGGTTCTTTTTCTTTTTTTTTTTCCAATACCAGGGATCGAACTCGCACTTACCAGACAGGTGCTTGTGCCACTGAGCTAAACCCCCACCCTGTCATTATATCTTGATATAAATTTTAGAGCAACCTTGAAAATCATCTGAATAAGCCAACTGAGATTTTTGGATTCCTTGGAATGTGAGTTTAATTTAGAACAGACATAATGAATTTCCACTCAGTGAACATGGTTAATCTCTTCATTTATATATGACTTCTTCAATTTCTTTCAGCAATATTTTGTAGTTTCTATAGTTTGCATGTATTTTGTTAAATTTTCCCTGTTTTAGTCCTATTATTGTTTTTAAAATTTTCATTTTTATTAACTCCATTCTTATTTCAATGCTAGTATATTAGAAATACAATTGATATTTATGAATTGGCCATGAGTCCTATGATCTTGCTGGCTTTGTTAATTCATTTTAGTAGGTAGTTTCTGTGATTCCATTTGTAGAAAACAGTGTACATAGGGTTTTCTCTGTACATTATTGTCTACAAATAAAAATATTTTAAAATTCTATTCCAACTTTTTATCTTGTATGTTTTTAAACTTTATTTGCATTGACTAGGACTCCCAATACAATTCTGAATAAAAGTGAGGCGAGCAGACATTTGTATTTACTTCGTGTCTTGGGGGAAAGGGTTTTCAGTGATTTATTACTAAGCACATTAGCAGCTTATTTTTCATAGCTGCTCATTAGCAGACTGAGCTTCTCTGCATTCTTCTTGGAAGTTTTAATCACAGGTTCAGTTTTGTCCAGTTTTTTGGTTTTGTTTGTATTGAGATGGTCATATGATTTTACTTCTCTTTTGGAAAATATAAATTACATCAGATGATTTT